CGTCAGGTTGTAACTCCCGATGTTGATTGTGAATGCTATTGAACTAGAGCTCTCATCGGTTGTCGTGAAGGTCGTCATATTGTAACCTTCAGCGATCTACGTGAAAGTCTTCAAATTGTAGCCGTCTGGAAGTCGTCAGATTGTAACTTCCATCATCGGTGTTTGATGGGGGATAAGCTATCTATTGTGATTTTTAGACAGCCTACAGCCCTTCTGAAGGGCGTGGCTATCAGTCTCGCCGGAGGTACAGGCCATACGGCGCTTCCCTGATTCCCTCTACTGGATCGATGCCCGTGTTGGTTCGTCCACAAATGAAAACATGATCGATGTTCAGCTCCTTCCTTCTTTTGAATGTGGACATGGTTCTTATTTTGATGAAAGGATTTCTTCTTAAATGTTTTATTTTGATTTTGGTGGAATGGACGTTTCTTGTGTTGGGGAAAGGGTTTACATTCAACATTGTTTATTTTGGGTTCTTTGAGTTTGGATTTTGTCATATTTTTCTCCCTGAGTCTATGTTGCTCTTCAATTCTAATGACATTCAACACTTGTTCAAGGGTAAGATCTCCTTGGGTATGATTAAGGTTTTGGCAAATTCTGACCAGAACTCGGGAAGTTTGTCTATAAGACGGGCTATCTGAAATGTTTCATCTAAGATAGATCCATTTACTTTTAATTGGTGAGCTATATGTTCGAATTCATGAATTTGCTCATTCATCGGTTTAGAATATACCATTTTAAATTTGTTAAAATCAGAAGCTTTAAATCTTTTAATTCCCATATCATCTAAACCATAGTTTTTCTCTAGTGTTTCCCATAGAGCTTTAGCATTAGTGATAGTATAATATATATCATATAACCTATCAGATAAGGCTCCCAAGATTCTGTGTAGACAATGATACTCTATTTTTTGAGGTGTTCTCGGGATAGGAATGGAATTTGTGGAGGAAGATGAGGAAGATTGCCTAGTAACTGGTCTAGATAAAGATGAGTTGTCTGGTTCTATGGTTGTTATTAGATTTAGACTTGTTAGCCAAAATCTCATTTGGTTTTGTCAACGACGGAAATTGTTCCCATCAAATTTCTCTAGTTTAGCCGACATAATTTCACTTGTAGCCATAATCTGATGTTGAATGAATAATTTTGTTATTATAATGTAACATATATGATTTAAACATTCAAAAACAGAATCAAGTGTATGTAGACGGTAAAAAATACCTCTATAGGCTTACGGGAAATTCGCCTACGAGGAGAGCTCGCACGCTCAACTCTCTGGCACGGGCCTAAGTCGCGTAGACGTCAGATATGCTCGATTCTAGGTTCGCCTAACGGTCGGCTCGCCAGCACGAGTGGAGATCGATCAGGATGGCGGAAGTTCGCCCTTCACCCAACTCGCCTGCCCGAGTTCAGGGTCGAATCCGCCAGCAATCTCAAGACCGTCAGTACAGCTGGGTATCCACTACCCCACGTGCTGAGATGGGCCTTCCCATCTCTCTCGACCCGAAGGGAGAGAGCACAGTACCCCAGGACCGTCAAACGGCCGCTCGCAGTACGCACAGCGCGAAGGACTGGACAGGTGTCGAGTCAACCTGGGCATTCATAAATGCGACTCACCTCGGCTGTCTGAGCCAAGAGCTGGATCCGCCGGCACTCGGCAAGCTGGCTAGACCCACTCGAGTACTGTGCACCTACTTCGCCGCCTCTCCTGACCGGAAAGGAGAAAGCACCGTGCTCAAAGCACGCCGGGCGGTCACGCACAGTACGAGTGATCGGACAGGCACTTCATCGATCTGCGAACTCATAAATGCGGTTCATTAATGCTGGTCAAATCCACTCGGATAGCAGTCGTTCGTTGCCTCACACACAAGATGGGCCTTCCCATCGTAGGTGACAGGACATAAAGCACAATCCCTGGAATGACCATTCATGGTACCGAGGAGCAGCTAGACGTCTCTGAAGAAGATGTGGTCACATCCCATAATTCAAGGAGGAGTCAAGCTGTCCCTCTTTCATTTAAAAGCCCCTTCCAGCACATTGGGAGAGGGGTCGCAAAACTTAGAGAAAAGAGTTGAGACCAAGCTCTCTGCATAACCTTTGCATTGCAGCATCACTGTTTAGTTCCGAGCTCCGATCGCCGGCGAACTAAGCAAACCCGAACTCCCTCGAGTTGAGCTTCTACTGTGAACTGAAGCTCCCCAGCAACCTCATTAGAACGGTCCAAGGGAAGCAGACTCGACACGAGCATCGAGCGAAGCATCCTGTAGCCACCTAAAGTCCCCACACAAAACAAAGAGGGCTTTCCCTCTGCTTCTGTTGTAATCATTTGATTTGTTAGTTTGTAATAAGCCTTCTTACTAATACAAACGAGCACTCCCCGTTCTCGGTAAATCAAATATTCACCCTACAGTGTAGCATGTCGGTTTTATAAGATGTAGACTGAATTAACATAATACGAAACAGAATAGTAAACATGCTAAACATGATATTATTCTAAACAGCTCAATTAGATTCTTGGATTGTTGGGAATATTAGCTGTTTAGACAATAATTAACATAAAATTATGTTTTGAATAGACGATTAATATTAGATAAAAGCATATTAATATTTTATCACAAAAATAAAATTAATTGTAACGAAAAATAAATAGGGTTAGAAATACAACCTGATGGTCGAGGCGTGCAAGGGCAGCACTGTCCTAAGAATCTAATTACCCCCTCTCGTACAGGGCTACACGATAAAAGTTTTCAGAGATACAACGACCATCGGTCATGCGACCTCCTTCTCGTCGGCACGAGCTTCAAGAAGGCTTTGCGAATTCTTCTCGACTTTCAGGGAACCAATATAATGTAGCAGTAAGAAAACGAAGAGCAAGAATAGAGAAGATTTTGTGATTTGCATTGTTTTTCAAACTGTATATATTTAGCCTTCGTAACTTTGAGTTTTTATAGAGGTTAAGGATGAACGTTTTTAATTACTGATTTAATTCTCATAAAAGTTCATTTCTGTTTTGATTATGTTTAAATATTACCGTTTCAAATCAATTTACCGTTTTAATTATATTGAAAAGAAGATCCACATTAATCACATTTTAATTGTTCTAATTTGCAAAAAAATAAAAAAATTAAAATGTAGCAGATTAAGAGCCCCTCACTCTGGAGCTGCATTCATGTCTGCAGGTCGTGGGCGCGCGCCACCCGACCCGAACCCGAGCCCGACCTGGCCGGCGTGTGTGTGTGTGGTGTGGATCATAACCTTTATTTTCTTCTGGGCATAAGAGAGAAGGGAAATGCTTATAAACATCATTCCTTTCTATTTCATTTCCTATGTGAGACTAAACTTTCCCACTACAATGTCAAGTTTTAAGTTACACTTATTATAACTCCAACATAATTCGCATAAAGAAAAAATACTCAATAACTCTAGCATTAATTCATAAAATGTTAATAATGATTAATGTCAATAAATTTGGTCAGATGGTTTTTTATCTACATTTGTTATGTTAAGGTGGTTGTGTTCTCTTCCTCTTTTGATTATGTGGGTTATGTTTACTTATGCAGAGGTTAGAAATGCTTAACAGCAGTGGGGAGCTTAATAAGAGGATTAATGAGTTTGTCTTTAATAACCTAATGAAAACGATAATATAGTGGGATGCCTTTTTCATTAGTGAATTGAATAGTTAGCAGTTACAATGTGTGCATTTTTTTCCTTTTGTCCTCGTCGATTTTTCATTTTCTATTTTTTGCCTGTTAAAAATGCATGCTATATACTATAGATAATATATTGTACTATATTTTAGTATAGACATGTTTGACTATAATATAATGGGTAATATGATATAGACATAAAGTTTATTAATTATTAATAATATATAAATTTTAGTTTAACTTAGATATATTTAACTATATTCAATAAATAATAGTTGTAGTAGTATAGATTTAAAAATATATCTAACTATACAAAATGTCATATGCATTTAATTAATAATTACCTAATTTAATTTGACAATATTTAGGGTTATGAGAAGAATTTGAAGAGATATAGTTTATACATATACGCATGTGTTTGATTTGAAGGATTTAAAGATGTATGACTTATGTATGCATGCATGTATTTTATGTGTGCATGTTTGAGGGCATTTTCAGAAGAAATGTTTTAACATGGTAACACACTTTTATAATAGTACTAGATGTATTTTTTTCAAAAAATTGCCACAGTATCTCGTCCCCCTGATTGCCACAGTAATAATGCTATAATAAATGATACTGTAGTATTTACTGTAGCATGAATAGTGAATATTGGGTTCTACCATTTGTATAGAGGAATAGAATAGAATCCAAGATTTACTGTTTATGCTACAGTAAAACTGTAGCAGCATAAATAGTAAGTCTTTATATCTTCCTTTAAGTTTAGAGGAGTAGATTTATTGTTCGTGCTACGGTATTTTACTGTGCACGATAATAAATCTTTGGATCCTCCTTTAAGTATAGAGCATTAGATATAATTTATAATTTTAAACATACAATAATCAATTCAAATGTATTAAACCTTAGATGGAGACAAGTTCAAAATGCAACGTTAAAAAAAACAAGAGGTCGTGCTTTGCACGGGGTACACACTAGTTTCTATAAATAGTAGGATTAAGAAAATGGTGTTTTTTTAAAAAAATTCCTTTCCAATCTATAAATATTTAAGGATAAATATTAGTTATAATAATATTCTTTGATTTCCTATTTTTTTTATCTTTCTATGTTTGGTTCTTAACATGAAAATATGAATTCCAACTTTATAGAAACCCTTGAATTTATACTCTTTTGTTTGGTTTGGAATGAAAATTTTTATGGATAAATGAATGAAAACAACATATGTAAACTTACCTCTCACTAGCGGACAAAAGCATGCTGAGGGCGTCCAGTACGAGTAAAAAGTTGAAAGAGAATTTAGCAATTACTACTACTGATCCTGTAATATTCATATTATCTAAGAAATACCAAACTTTTCTCTTTCAAATATTTCCTTTGTCATTAAGTTGATCATAAGAAACTGCTGATAAATTACAACTATGTGTGCTTTCAACAACCATCTCACCAAAATAATAATAATAATAATAATAATAAGGGAGTAAAACCAAAACTGGGGGAAAACACAAAATGTCGGCAACAAAAACTGTACATGATTACTAGGACTCATTGAGCTCCCAGGGCATCTCTCATACTCACGTTTAAACTGTTCCTCATGGTTCTTCTGCCTATTCCCATATTGCCCTTGCGCATCATAGCAACAAACTCGCCATAGTCAATGCAACCATCCTGAGCAAATATACAAGCAATATCAACTGAAAATTCAAACGAAACCCAAAACAATCTTTAGCACCCGACACTTAAAACTCACTCCATATGTATGGTGACTCTGCGTGTAGATTTTATGTATCACTTTAATTAGTTGCCAAAACTATCAGAATTTCATGTGCAAGCATAGTCCCACAATGGAAGAATTTGAAAGAGTTGTGGACTTCAAATAGAAACTAGGGACCGTCTAACAACTTCAACTTTTGGGCTAATTTAGAGCTATGTTTTACCACCACCCCCCCCAACCCCAAGAAGTTTGAACCGCATACTGAGACAGCCTGTTAAAAAAGTTTAAAAATATCACTTGACCATAATTTTTTTTTCAGATAACCCCCTACACATATGACAGTAATCGGATTATCTGAAAATATATTTAGAAGAATGCAAAAGTTTTGGGGGCTAAGTGACATTTCTGAACTTTTCAGAATTGAGGAGCGGGTCAAGAGGTGAAAACTGGCTCTATTAGAACCGGGTTAATAAACCTATTTGTATTAGGGTTTGAAAGTCCCTCTTTCCTATAAATACATATGCAGAGATACATAAAACTATGAGAGAAAATACTATAGCCGTCATCTTCTACCTCCTTCAATTTTGTGATTTACACTGTAGTTGTGAGGCGATACGTGGAGACTTCTCATCGTATCAACAGTGTAGCCGTTCTCTGACCGTTGTTCGAAGATGAAGAACAAATGTGTGACAATCCTTTGTAGATTTGTTGGGGGGAAATTTTGTACGGTACAAGATTTTCCTATCACCAGATTAGCAAGAAAGCAAAAGAATAAAGCGAAATAACAACGCACACAAATTTAACATGGTTAGGCACAACATTGCCTACGTCCACGGGCTGCTGCTGATCTTTCACAAAGGAGAGAATTTACAAGTGTTTTTAGACACAACTCACAAGAAAAAATATCTCTAGAATTTTTTCTCACAAACCTCTCTGATTTTGCCTCTTCTCAAAAACACTCAGAATGATTGAATACACTCAGCAGATGAGGATGCAAATTAAAGGGAGAGCAGAGGGGTTTTATAGTCTCCATGCGCACAAATTAGGCCACAAATTGTGGCCTGTCAATCATCCCCCTTATTTTTTTCCTTCCTTTTTTGACCCTTGCTCCCCTGCTTTTCGGTGGCTGTCTTTGTTGACAAAAAAACAACCACCAATCTTCACAATCTCACACTTGAAGACTGTTTTTAATCTGTCTTCACATCTCGATCTATGCAGCAACTCTTCCCTGATCTTGATACTATTGCAGGGCAACTGAAGCTGAACACAGTTTTAGTTTGTCAGCAGTCACCGTCTTTGTCAGCATGTCTACCAAATTTTGAGCTCCATTGATCTTTTCAAGTTTTAAAAATCCATCTTCCAGAAGTGATCAGATAAAATGATATTGCACCTGTATGTGCTTTGTTCTGGAATGAAAAGACGGATTCTTCGCTAGATGAATAGCACTTTGACTGTCGCAGTATAAGATATTGTCTTCTTGTTTCTTGCCTAATTCATCCAAGAAACTTTGAAGCTAAACCATTTCATTGTTGGCTTCTGTAACAACATATTTTGCTTCAGTTGTGGAGAGAACAACTATCTTCTGGGGTTGAGAAACCCAACTCACTGCAGTACCTCCTAGAGTATAGACATACCCTACAATGCTCCTTTTGATATCAATATTTCCTACTAAATTAATATCCACATAACCTATTAGTATTATATCTCCATCTTTGAAACAAAGTGCTTTACCTGTGGTGCCCCATAGATATATGAGGATCCAGTTGACTGCTTCCCAGTGTACCTTGCTCGGATTATTCATGTATCTGCTAACAACTCCCACTGCTTGAGCAATATCTAGTCTTGTACAAACCATGACATACATTACACTTCCAATTGCTGAGGCGTACGAGACCTTCGCCATGTGTGGACTGCTCTTTGGAAAGCCTGAAATGAGCACCTAAAGGTGTACTCACTGGTTTAGCATCTTGCATATTAAATTTGGAGAGTACTTTGTTGATGTACTTAGCCTGTGATAACATCAAAAGTCCCAGACCTCGTGTCTCTTTCGATCCTCATTCTAAGAATCTGCTTTGCCGCGCCAAGATCTTTCATTGCGAACTGCTTTGATAATTTTTGCTTTAAATTTATAATCTCTTACAGATCTGAACCTGCAACGAGCACATTATCAACATATAATAATAAAATAATGAAGCTATTGTCAAACCTCTTGAGATAGCAACAATGATCTGCTTGGCATCTAGTGAAACCGTTGTTGTCCATAAAACTGTCAAACTTCTTGTACCACTGCCTGAGACCTTGTTTTAATCCATACAAGCTCTTCTTCAAACGACATACTAGATTTTTCTTGTCTGCCTTTATGAAGCCTTTTGGTTGCTTCATATAGATCTCCTCCTCGAAATCACCATGAAGGAAAGCTGTTTTTATATCTAACTGCTCAAGATGTAAATTCTCAACAACTACAATTTTCAACATCAGTCTGATTGTAGTCAATTTCACGACCGGAGAGAAAATTTCATTGTAGTCAATACCTTCTTTTTGCTGAAAGCCTTTGACAACCAATCTTGCCTTGTAGCGCTTGTTCCCATCATGCTCTTATTTGATCCTGTAAATCCACTTGTTATGAAGAGCTTTCTTACCTGGTAGTAATTCAGTTAAGTCCCACGTCTGATTTGACATAAACGAGTCCATCTCATTTTGCATAGCAGACTCCCACTTGACTGAATCCTCCACCTACATTGCTTCATCATAACACTCTGGTTCACCACTGTCACTCAGCAACAAGTAGTGCAAAGAAGGCGAATAACGCTGGATTGGCTTAGGAATTCTGGAGGAGCGTCTCACTTCTGACGTGCTTGGTTCTTCTTGAACTACTTCAGGAACATTATTTTCAGAAATCTCCTCAAATTCAGTAAATTCCTTTATTTTAGCTTTTGTACTGAAGCTACTTGATTTTACAGTTGATCTGTCTTTGTATATCACATTCTTATTGAATATGACATCTCTGCTTCTGATGATCTTTCGATTTTTATAATCCCAAAACCGGTAACCAAACTCATCACCACCATAACCAACAAAAACACATTTGTTAGATTTGGCATCAAGTTTATTTCTTTCAGCAAAATCTATGTGTACATAAGAGATACAACCAAAAATTCTTAAATGCGAAAGATTTACCTCTTTTTTGCTCCAAGCTTCTTCCGGTATTCTACCGTCTAAGGGAACTGAGGGCCCACGGTTGATTAGATGAGCTGCGCTATTGGCATGTTCATTTAAAATTTTGTTCATGCACTCAGCTACATCATTCTGCTGCGGTGTCATGGGAACTGTTTTCTCCATCTTGATCCTGTTGTTTGCGTAAAATTCTTTGAATCTACTGTCTTTGTACTCTCCTCCATTGTCTGACCTCAACCGTTTTATCTTCAAACTAGATTCATTTTTCACCATGACCTTCTATTTTCTGAAGGTATCAAAGACTTCTGATTTCTTCTTCAGAAAATAGACTCATACATTCCTTGTAGAATCATCAATGAAGGTGACATAGTATAGTGAGCCTACAAGAGATGGAACTGGAGATGACCCTCATATGTCGGTATGAACTCTAACTTTTCTGCCTTGGGTGTCTTGCCAATCTTTGCAAAACTGACTTTCTTCTGTTTGTCAAAGATATAATCCTCGCATAGGCCGACATCTACATTCTTCATATCTGACAGCTTCCCTTTTGCCAGAAGTGTTTTCATCCCTTGCTCGCTCATATGGCCAAGCCTTTAGTGCAATATGTTTGATTTTTTATCAGTTACTGCAATAATATTCTCTAAGTTAGAAGTTACATAGAAAGTACCAGTTTTCTTACCTCGAGCAATGACGGGTGCTCCTTTGATAATCTTCTATTCATGACCTGAGAAGGTTGTACAGTAACCCTCTCCATCAAGCTGTCCCACAGAGATCAAAATCCTTTTAAAGCCAAGAACATGCCTCACTCCTTACAGGTTCCATATGGTCTGATTTGGCAATTTTAATCGGATGTCTACCTTGCCAACGATCTTCAAGGTTTCATCATCTACTAGATGTACCTTTCCGAAATCACCGCTGATATAGTTCTCATGATTTCTCGGCATGGGGTGGCATGGAAGGATGCCCCTGAATCAAGAATCCATGATTTAATCGGTCTGTTGACGCTTAGAATCATATCATCACCTCCTTGGTCACGTTGGTAGGCTCCTGTGCGCCGGTATTTTTCTTCGGTGTCCGACACTCCCTCTTAAAATGACCTTTCTTACCACAATTATGGCAGTTAAAATCTTTCTTTCCCGATCTAGATTTGCTCCATCTAGATTTTGGTCTGCCGTGATTTAAACTTCTTTCTAAAGTTCTCCCCTTAGACTCAGTGTGTAAGGCTAAGGAGGTTGATGCTTCACCCGATTCTCTCCGTCGAATTTCTTCACTAACAACCAAATCACGAACATCATCAAATTTCAACTTAATGCTTCTCGACGAGCTACTCACAACTGTGATAGTAGCATTCCAACTTTCTGCTAGAGAAGGAAAAAATATCAATGCTCGTATTTCTTCATTAAACTTAATTTCAACTGAACTCAACTGGATTGTGACCGTATTGAGTTTATTGAGATTTTGAGCTACCGATGCGCCTTCTGTCATACGCAAATTGAACAACCGTCTTATCAAGTGAAATTTGTTTGAGGCAGAGGGCTTCTCATACATGCTACAGAGAGACACCATAAGACCCGCCATGGTCTTTTCCTTTGCTATGTTGAAAGCAACGTTACGGGATAACGTCAATCGGATAACTCCAATGGCTTATCTGTCGAGAAAAGCCCACTCTTCATCCTTCATGTCATCAGGCTTATTTCCTAAGAGAGATTGATACAGCTTCTTCTGGTACAGATAATCTTCGATCTGCATCTTCCAAAAGCTGAAGTCTGCACCATCGAAC